GAGAAGGATGAAAGTACTTGCACATTTTTCTTTTGTTGATGTATGAATATAACAAATATACAAAACGAATATTTTCCTACACATTTCTTACCAGTTACAAAGTATTACATTATAGCCACCAGAAAATTTATAATTCAAGACAATTTGAAATTTTATTTGTGTATGAATAATTTTCTTTTAGGCGATTGCCTTAATATGAATACAGTATATATACCCTCAAAACCAGCTATATATATGAACCTTGTGTTTATTCAATTGCTAAGAAAGCCGTTGTGCTATTTTTATATACACCATTCTCATTCATTCGGTGGTTAAGGACAAAAATCAAAATGGGGCTAATTTGTGTTAAAATAACATGAGAAGTTTTTTCCCATACACCAACTCAAACGGCGTAGTCGTAGCTCATGATTCGTGAAGACTGTAGCAGAATTGGGTTGCATCAAGTAAATCGAACCAATCCTTCTGGATAGCACTGACATAATGCCAAAGATAAGCTTCTAACACGTCATTCATCCGCTATGTCTGTTCATCAGTTTGATCAGGATGATTGGCCGTTGACAATTTCAACTCAGTCCCCAACATATTAAACAATGTTGTCTACGAAATACCAAATACTTAAAAACATTCTTCAAGAATAACTCCCGCCATTTTTTGTCGGACAAGCCATTTGTGCAGCAATAAAAATCTCATACTTTGAGAAACGGTCAACGATAACGAAGATAGATGCGTCACTATTCACTTTTGGAAATCCGGACACAAATTCCATCGAAATTGATTGCTAAGGTCTCTCTGGAATGGGCTGAGGCTACAGTAAACCGTTTCAAGAAAATCTGACTCAACACGAGTCAAGACACAAAAGGTAGCACTACTCAACAACTTTCCTTCTCTTCATTAGTATTTTTTTAATTTATCATAAATTTTAAAATCTATAGTCAATAAAATTATTACTTAAAATCAGATATATAATCAATATTTTGGAAATTAAATAGACTAAGATTACGATTAACATTAAATTTACAATTTCATGATATATTTGGTGAAATGCCATGGGAGATCAAACCAAATCTTGTTCCCGTGTAGAATTTGGTGATTTTTTTTTAATTAAGGGTTAAGATGCTCTTAAATAAAAATGTGTTTTTCTACTGAAAATATTGTTTTGAATATTAATTCTTCACTCTAAAGTTATGTTGCGGGGGGAGAGAGAGAGAGAGAGAGAGAGAGAGAGAGAGAGAGAGAGAGAGAGAGAGAGAGAGAGAGAGAGAGAGAGAGAGAGAGAGAGAGAGAGAGAGAGAGAGAGAGAGAGATGAGTT